TTGATGTTCACATTTCTATTTCCAGGTAGTAACAGTACCAGCGACGGCCACAAGGGGCAGACTGCAGCGAAGAAAAATATTAAACACAAAGAGGAAAAACTGCTTTTTAAATATGCGTTTAGTGTTAATATGTGTGATATGTGCTAATATATTAGCGTGTTTCTGTCTTCATATGTAGCGGATTCCTCCAACTGAGAGAATCTGTCTGAATATAACTAAACAGCGCCCTCTGGTGGAGAACTCATGGCTCTACAAGTACAAAACAAAATCTGGTGAAGATTCATTCCTGTTGACGTGGTTAGCATGCTAATTATTAAAATATGATAGTGCTTAAATTATGCACTTGAATGTATCTTATTCAATGTATGAATAAAATTAATGTAACGGTGTCTTGATTAATTAAAGATAATTAAAAACTGATTTTGTAATGGAAACAGATACAGAAAACTCACAATAACTATAGTAATGCCGGATGTCACCAAACATATTATTATACTTTAACACAGTTTCCTTAAATATGCAGCACAGAGGTGGTAAACTTACCAGAACGGAGCTGGTGAAACGATAAGGTCACATTTTAATCAGATTAGTAAATATGCGTTTAAAAAAAAACAGATTTGTTTTTATCTTTGTATCTAAACACACGAGATAAAGATATTTTGAAACATTCCCTAAGAGCTGACACATTTTGTTCTTTAATTAAATCGTTTAAATTTTAAGATTAATGATACTTAAGTGACCTTTTAGACTTCAAATATATTATTACATTATTTCTTCATACCAGAATCAGTACTTGAACACAAAATGAACCAAATCACAGCTTTTTCCATCAAAATGCACTTAGATAAACAGATATTCAGTCATTATGTCTGAAACAACAATAAAACACAAAAGAATTTATAACATCTGGTTTATATTATAAATATGTATATTATGTATTTGAAACAAGGTACAAGAATCTACTTAGATTATCTCTAATTAGGCCAAATATTGAAACAAATATAAATACTGTAGGCTGTTTTGTAATTGTAATC